GACAGAGTCAGACCTGAGATTTAGGAAAGCCATTGTAGTGGCTGAGTGGACGATGGCCCGGAGTGGGGAGAAACCTGAGGCAGGAGGACGCCCCAGCAGCTGGTGCCGCAAGTAGTACAGGTGTGAGGAGACAAGAACCTGGTCCAGGAGGTGGCGTGTCAGAGAAGAGACAGGGCAACCTTTGAGAGACGCTGCCAGGTGAGATCACCAGGGCCTGGCAGCAACTTGATGAGGGGGTGTGATGGTGAAGAGGCAAGGATGACTCCTTCCTGGGAGCCCGGGGACCTGGGGGAACGGGGTAGCCCCTGCAGCACTAGGGAAGGCAGGAGCGGGGGGAACGATAAGGAGCTCTGTTTTCAACATATCGAGGTTAAGATTCTGCGGGACATCCAGCTTGACATGTGTGAAAGATAGCTGGAGACGTGAGATCACCGGTCAGCAGAGAGGTTACAGCTGCTGAATAGAGCTGGGGATCGCATGCATAGAAATTGTGATTAAATCCATGGGCGGTGATGAGATCCCCAAGTGAAGTGGGACAGGGTGAGGAGAGGGCCCAAGACAGAGCCCTGAGTGACACTTGTGGTTGGGGGTGGTATCTGGGGAGGAGCCAGCCAAGGAGACAGAGAGGGAGGAGGAGAGCCAGGAGAGACAGACGTGTCCCGAGAACCTAGAGAGAAGAGTGGTACACAGGGTCCAAGCGACAGAAAGGTCCGGGAGAATGAGCACTGAGGGGCAGCTGGAGTTCAAATCCAACCTCAGAACAGACACTTGACGCTTACTAGCTGTGTGACCCTGGGCAAGTCACTTAGCCCCATTTACCTCGACCCCCACCCCAAAAAGAAAGAATGAGTGCTGAGAAACGGTCGTTGAATTTGGCAGCTCGGAAAGCGCTGGTCACTTTGGAGAGAGCATCGTGGGTAGAACGACGAGGTCAGAAGCCAGATCTTAAGGAGCTGAGAGGAAGAGGAGGCCCGATTGTAGATGGCCTTTTTGAGGCATTCAGTCACGAAAGGAAGGAGAGATAGAGGATGACAGCAGAGAAGAGGGGACAAGTGAGGGTTTCCAGGACTGGGCAGACGGGGCCATGTTTATGGGCAGTAGGGTTGGGGTTTGCTCTTCCTTCTCGAAGACGACCGCGACGTCAGGAAGGCGACGCCACGACTCACAAGTGAGTTGGATTAAACGAGGGAGGCCTGGACAGAGGCTCTCTCGGGTTCATTTTCACAGCTTCTTAGTGGTCCCCACTGTGATGGAAATGCAGCGTAGAGTCCAAGCTGAAGAAACAGATGCTAGGTCGTCCACAGAGCCCTGACGGCCGATAACAAATCCACGTGGTCGAAGAGCTGCCTAGAAGAGATCAGTTCGGGCTGACCACCCACGCAGGAAGGAAAGATGGGAAGAAGAGTGCCACTGCCAAGTGGGTGTGGGGATGGAGCTGCCCTCAGGATGCATCTAACAGAGCTCAATCAGGCCCAGAGTTCACCTGAGAGGGCGTGGCCTTGCAGACTGATGGGGCTGCCCATCTTCTTAATGCTAATACTAACGTCTGATGCTTTCATACAACCCAGTAGAAACAAGTCAGGCTGCACCAATATTCCGGTGCATCCAGTCACCCCAGAAGTGATGGGCACCTGCTTTGCTTCCGGTCCTTTGTTACCACAAAAGGCTCGGCTATGAATCTTTTGAATATGGATGATGAGGGCCTTTCTGTCTTTCTTTGACCCCCTTGGAGTACGTGCCCAGCAGCAGCATCTCTGCGTCAAAGGATATGGACAATTTGGGGTTAGGGTCACCCTTTTAAAAGAAGCATCATTCCAAACCCACGTGGACAATTAGTTTCTTTTTTAAGATTTCCATGTATTTGTTTGTTTGTTTTTGGCTACATTTTGTGTAATGCGAGGAACCGCTCAGTCATTCACAGTTACTCTGAACAATTCTGCGGCTACCGCAGACAACGTTCTCCCGGTTCTGCTCGTTTCACTCCGCATTATTTCATGAACATCTTTCCATGTTTTTCTAACACCACCCTGCTCATCATTTCTTACAGCCCAGTGGTATCCCATCATGTACGACCAATTGAAGGTGTTGTTTCAGTGTGTTGGAGGTTCTATCATCTACTTCTGGCAGCTAGGTGGCGCCACAGTGCACAGAGCGCCAGACCTGGAGTTGGGAAGACATCTTCCTGAGTTCAAATCCAGCCTCAGACACTCCCCAGCTGTGTGACCCTGAACAAGTCACTTAACCCTGTTTGCCTCAGTTTCCTCATCTGTATATTGAGCTGGAGAAGTAAGCGGCAAACCAAGAAAACCCCAGATGGACACAAGCGAACAACCATATACTTCTAAAGTAGCCACACAGAGTGACCACAGTGACCTTGCTTCATATTTAGGAACCTCAATGATAAATAGGGGCTAGGAACAGCAGCAGGGACTGGTCCTGTGATTTCATGAGTACAGGGAAATCTCAGATGAGGAAACTCCCTATACCAGTAAAGGTTGGCACCCCCTCTAGAGCCTGTGGATTTAGAGCTGTGTCGTCCAGCCCGGATGGGCCAAAGGCAGGACTTTCATTTCAGGCCTTCCTGACTCGGAGCTAGGAGGCCAGCTATGTCCTCGACGTGATGCCATCCCTTTATGTCTACATACATGCAGAACAAAAGGTGACTTTGGGCAGAGGCCTGAACACCTGGATGCTGAGAGAGGCTTCACTGCCGAGGCAGCATTGGAGCAGAGCTTTGAAGGAAGCTAGGAAGGGCTTGGGGCAGGAGGGAGTGGATTCCAGGCATGAGGGACAGCCTGAGCAGACCTGGGAGATGGGGTCACACGCGAAGAACAGGGAGACGGCTACTGCAGCTGGGCTAGAGTGTGTGAACAAGAAGGACGCATGGAAGCCTGATCTCGGACGTTCAATGTCCCCCAGCCATTCGTGTTGGCTCCCAAATGCTGTCAGGAGCCACTGGAGATCGTGGAAGGGGAAAGGAAGGGGGTGCCTGCATAGATGTAAAAGCTTCGGGCACTGTGCTGAGCGCCTCACAATTATTATCTCATTTAATAATAATAATAACACGTAGAGTGCTTGCTATGTGCCAGGCATCGTGCTGAGTGCCTCACAATTATCTCATTTGATCTTCCCAACCCTGGAAGGTAGGCACTATTATTATCCCCATTTTACAGATGAGGAAATGAAGGCAAACAAAGGTTAAGTGACTTGCCCCGGGCCATACAGCTAGAAAACACGTCTGGAGCCAGATTTGAACTCAGGTCTTGCTGACTCCAGGCCCAGCACCATCTCCACTGCCCCGACGGCTGCCTGCCGAGCTGTCAGCTCACATGGTCAGACCTGCGTTTTAGAAGCATTGCTTTGGCATCTGTGTGGAGGATGAGCCTCGAGGCGGGGAAAGCAAGAGGAGGTTATGATAGCGCCCAGGGCCCAAGCCAGGGTGGAGGCTGTGAGTGGAACAGCTGCTAGAGACGGGGCGCCAAAGATTGGAGGATTCCTTGGTGACTTCCAGAACGCCAGGCCCTGGACGGAAATGAGGAAGCTGGTTGGAGGTGGGAGCTGGGGGGAAAGAGAAGTATTTCTACTTCTTAAAGTCTCTCCACTGTCTTTGCTTGTATTGCTTTCGGCTTCTCTGAAGATTTTCTCTTCAAAGCAGCTACGTATTAAACCATCACAAAAGATTTCATTTTTGAAAGTTAGACAATAACATATTTAAGACAATTAAACCTAAAATTGATTGTTGAACATTTCAACTGATTATCTATAACCAACAGTTATTACAATTGTAAAGGGGTCTTTTTGGAAACCGGATGATTATATTGCACTCACCAAAATGTATGACTAATTAGTATCATCTCACAGCACCTTGCGACCACGAAGCTTCAAGCTTACACGCTCCACCCTGCAATGCGGTGAGCAGCTTGGTGACCGCTCACCTGGCTCACTGACCGCGACTCTCAGGCGGTGCCCCAACACGGTCCATTCTGACCTCATCTGCACAAGCCCCGTTAATCAGTGTTGCATTCAGAGTGAGTTGGAGTGGGATTCTCTAAGGTTGTCTGACATTTGAGGTTCTCACACTTGAAAACCTCCATCGAGCTTGGCCATCTGAGCACACAAATCGTCTCCTGCTGCTCCCACCCTTCACGACCCCATTGGGGTTTTCTTGGTAGAGATACTGGAGTGTCAGTACAGCTCATTTGACACATGAGGAAACTGAGGCAAACAGGGTTGGGTCACACAGCTAGCATCTGAGGCCTGACTCGAACTCGGGACGATGAGTCTCCCTGACTCCAGGCCCTGCGCTCCGTCCACTCTGCCACAGACTCCCCCTCCCCCATAGGTTTTCCCAAACCCCAACTTAAAGGGTCTCGCTTCTTGCTCCAGGCTGGCCCCTTGGGCACAATGGAATCACACTGCCCTCTGCTGGTGAGGCTTAGAAAAACCTGGCCCTAAACATCCCTTCTGCCCCCAGGGCTCTGGACCAGGATCATCTGTTAAGCGGACAGGCTAGACTCGCCAGGGTCTAAAGTCCTTCTGCCATCACCGCCCCTCACACACCTGCCGAGGAGCCACCCCCCACCGTCTTCACTCCTGACTAGGGCAGCGCCCCGGCCCTGGCAGGGACAACGGTGCAGGGGGTCAGCCTGGAGCTGGGAAGACCCTGAAGAGATCCCCAGGCCCTTGTCCGAGGCCACAGGAAGGCAGAAGCCAACTTAAGGCTGGGCTCCTCTTCCCAGCCGCCAGCCTCAGACGGCTCCCGTGCCCCAGCGCCGTTTGCCTTCAACATCCTCCCCGCTGGGCTGGAAGCGCCGTCCCAGGCCCGGGTTCCTGCTGTGGGCTCCCAAGGTCCTTTCTACTTAGGACAGAATCCATTCTCAAGCTCACCCCAGCCCAGACAGCGCCCCTTCTAGGGTCAAAAACACCTTCCGAAGTATTTCTGATCACACGTCTATGGTCTACATTACAAACACACCAAAGTTAAAAAGGACCAGGCTGAATTGTTTGCAAAGTAATTTATTTTCTGTAACAGCAGCAGCGCCCACCCCTTTGGACCTCGCTACAGCACCGGGCCCACTAGCAAGCTTGCTCGGCGACAGTCCCGGCTCCCCGCCTCTGGACGGCCTGGTTTTCAAAGGTCCCACGATGGACATTCCTCAACACCCCTTCTCCAAGGGTTCTCTCCTCCAGAGTTCATTCAGAGGTTTCTCAGTCATCGTTAAGGCTTCATCTACAGGGACGGGTCAAGTGTTTGTTTCGTTCAAATATCTGCCAACTTGTCACAAGAGAAAACAAACCCAGCCCACTTGTGTAGACAACTGCGGTTAAGACCTCCAAGTCCCACAGCCCTCAGAAGTGGCAGCAAACCTGCCTCTGGGCCTCCTCACCCCGTGGGCACCAGGTGCACCGTCACCCACAGCCGGGGAGGGCCCTGCTCCCGAGGGCGGGAAGGCTCTCCCACAGGGCGGATGGGGTCTAGGGGATGACGGCACAGCGCCTCCACGACCTTTCTTTCCGCCTCCTTACCCTGATCTCCACAAGTCTGCAGAGGGACAATAACAAGGTGGGGGGACGGCCATTCCCTGGCCCGGAGCTGGGGCCCCTCAGACCCCTGGCAGTCAAAGGCCCAGGGGGCACCGAGTGTCTTCATGAGAGTCAGAGCCCAGTGCTGGCATCATCGGGGTACCCGTGCTCCCTCTAACCCGGACCCCCCAGCCCTGCTCAACTGAGACTTTGTCAAGAAGAGGCATCTGGGGTACAGAATGAAATCCAAGCTAGATTTCTGACACCAGTCCTCCAAACAAGGCGTTTTTGCCCCACTGAGGCACTAAGAGGGTTCAGAACCCAGTGACTCCAGTGCCTTCTCATTCCCTAACGGGGCCTCCCTCCACGTCCCCGAGCAGAGGGTGAGTGGGTACCCGGCTACCGCCAGGTCCCTCCTGGCTGAGGATTCCAGGACATGGGCAGAGCCAGCCCTGGATGGCATCAGGGCTCAGCAGGACAGCTGCGATCCCAGAGAGCCTCATGGGGGGGGCAGGGGAGCCCCAACACAGAAGCCCAGAACCACAGAACCACCAGGAGCCTCACACCCCAAAGAGGGAAAGGAGCCGGAGGCCCTGAGGAAGAGCACGGCCCCAGAGGAGGCAAGGCTCCCGAAGGCCTCCATCCGCACAGAGAGACACCAGGGAGGCCGGGACTGGCGGGGAGGAAGAAAAGGAGACAGGTTTGGGTCGTGGCCAAGGAGGGAATTGGTGGAGTCTGGCATGACTGACTGCGTAGCTATGGTGGGGGGCTGATCTTTCTTTTTAACCAGGTGGAAGGGAGAGAAAAACAAATGAAAAGATGCAATTTAAAAAAAGAGAAGAGTGTGAGACATTGTCACAAAAGGACCGGCGCACGGAAGACTGACCCAGACACTCCCAGATCTGGAGCAGGAAGACGGGCCGGGGGTTCTTACCAGAGGGGGTGTGGGAGCGGCTCAGAGGGCTCGCTGGAACCTCTGTAAGAGAAATGGGGGGCAGGAGTGAGAGGCAGAACCGGGGCTGGGCAGATGGGGGCGGGCCTTCCTTCTGAGAGCCGGGACCCCTCAGCCCCCAGGAGTCAAAGCCTGGGGGGCACCGTGTTTATCGTCAGGGGGCTCAGAGCCCAGTGCGAGCATCATGGGAGGCCGGCTCTCTGGTCTGGCACCCCCTGCCCATGCAGGGCACCCTGGGACCAAGGGTCCCAATCCCTCAGTGATGCCCCGATGACCCCCCTGCACCCCAGCCTTCCCCAGAGGTCCTGGCAGGCTAAAGGGCTTGGGCCGGACCACCCCAGGTACATGGAGCTGGGCCCCAGCGCCCACTCTGCGGGCGGCAAGCCCCCTCCCCTTTATGAGCCTCAGTTTCTTCATCTTCTATAAAAGAGAGAGGTGAAGCTGAGATGGTCTAATCTGGGACTTGGGACGGGGACTTCCATCGTGGAAGGGTCCCTTCACTGTCCTGGTGAGGCCCCCAAAGAATGAGAGGCAAAAGCAGGAAGGGGCTTCAACCTCAGCCACTGGGCTCATCACTCGTGGTCCAACCCGAGGGGGTGCCCTCCTTCCCCCCCGCCCCTTATGTCGCCCTGCAGCCTCCGCCTCCCATTTCAGACTGACCTGGGGCAGGGGGTGAGGGTTAGCGCCATCCACCATCACCTGGGCAAAGATGGGAGAAAGCTGCTGGAGGTGCCATGGGGCACAGAGCGCCAGGCCTGGAGTCTGGAAGACCCGAACTCTAATCCAGCCTCAGACATCCCCTAGCTTCATGACTTGAGACAAGTGCTTCTTCTCTGCCTCAGTCTCCTCATCTGTAAAATGGAGATGATAATAGCACCCACCTCCCAAGGCTGTTCTGAGGATCACAATATTGGTGGACCACTTAGCGTAGTGCCTGGCACACAGTAGGTGCTCCACAAACGTTTGTTACCTGAAGCAGGGCAGCCACCTACAATGCGAGGGACGGACCGACCATGTGTGCGAGGTGATGGAGGCGATTTCTGTGTGTGTGTGTGGGGGGGGGAGATGTGCACAGCTGTGACCAGAGAGGAAGGGAGGCAGGTCTGGGCAGAGCAGGGTGGTCAGCGACAGGGACAGACACCCCCCCACATGCCCCAGCGCATACAACCCCCCAACACAAACAGTGCCCGCGCACAAGTACACACACAAGCGCGCGCGCGCCCACACACACACAGCTGCAGACGGGCTCCCCCACAAAGACCAGAAACAGGCAAATGCAGAAAGGGCGAGAGCAGGCCCAGACCATGATACGTGATGACCGAGGCCCGGAAGGGCAGACTCAGGGCTGCAGACGGGCCACTTCGGCTCCCCCGGGTGAGCTCAGCTCCCCCTTACACACCGTGCAACGGGGCAGGAGGGACCCGCACCCTACATATCCCCACTCTGGGCTCACGTCCCCTCCACAGGCCCTGGCACCCTGAGCCCAAGGGAGAGGACGATGGGTACAGGCATCTCTCAAGGAAAGTGACCGGCAGGGAGCAGACTTCCAGACTCAGGACTGGGGGTGCCCCTCCCAAACCCTAGATTGCAATCAGCCACAGGTCCTGCCCTGCCCGAGCCCCTCAGACCCCTGGGAGTCCAGGGGGCACTTGGTCTGTCCTTCACGGGGAGTCAGCGCCCAGTGCTGGCATCATCGGGGTGCCCGGGAGGCTGGCATGCGGTCACTACAGGGCCCCTGACACGTGTGGGCCGCGCACCCATTCCACAGGAGGGGTCCAGGTCAGACTTCGGGCCAGGGCCAGCCTCACCTCTGCTCCTTCCGGGGGCCCCCTCTGCAGGCGGCCACCTCAGCCCCCGGCCCCAAGACCAGGCCGTCTGCAGGGAGAAAGGAGAGAGGACAGGCAGGTGGGGCCGGGTAACGGAAGGGGACGATGGGGGTCCCTGGGGGTCCAGGCCAGCGGGCACCACGTGTCTTCATCAGAGTCAGTGCCCAGTGCTGGCATCGTGGGGGGCCCCGCTCTCCTGCAAGGGCTGAGGGGCCCCTGGAGGCGGGGGGCGGCTGGGGTTTCCTTCCACGGGACCCTGACCCCTCCCCCACACCAGCACCCCCTCTGCGGGGGGGGGCCTCCTGTCAGAAACAGGGCGGGGGGGAGGGGCCTAGGCGGAAGCACAGACTGAGAGCTGGGAGGGAGCAGCAAGAGGGGGAAACTGAGGCCCGGCCCCGGCGCACGGCAGGCGCTTACTAAATGCTTACAGACTTCCCGATCCGCCCGCTCCTGACTCCCTCCTCATCTTCGCCCCCTCCCCAGCGGGGTCCGAAGTCTCCGGCCTTGAAGAAAGAAGGGAGTCAGGGGGCCCCCAGCGCCCCTCCCCCC